CCGCCGACGCCGAGTTTAAATGGCCGGAAGTGACGCCAGTCACTGTTGCCAGGCGACGTGCTGGCGGTGGGAGTGGCGGAGGAGGAAGAGGGGCTGGAGAAAGGGGCGGGGCCGAGAACAGGGGCGGAGCCAGCGTCCCCGCCCACCGGCCTGACCCGCAGCTCCCCCTGCCCCAGGAGGGCGGCCTCACCTGGCCACGTGGGTTATTTCCATACAATTGGATCCCATTGACCTGCATGTCCATTTTTGTGTCAGTAACACACTCTTAAATTACTGGGATTTCTAGTGTTTTGCAATCAGAAATGTGCATTTCCCAACTTTTCCTTTTTCAACATGGATTTAGCTACTCTAGCTCCTTTGAATTTATCAATTTGGGGATCTTAGAAAGGTCTGCAAACAGGCTAACTGGGGTTTTGATAGGGGTTTCACTAGATCAGTAAATAAATTTGGGAGAATGACCATCTAACAATATTGTCTCCCGATGTATGAATAGCTTATTTCAACAATGATTTATACTTGTCAGAGTATAAGATTAACACTTTTGTTAAATTTAACCTAACAAGTTTGTTCTTTGGAATGTCATTACCAATGAATTTTTTTCCTTTTTAAACCACTTTATTGGGACTCTGTTGACATGTAAAACATTTATTCAACCTAATGAGTGGGGTTAAGTCTATCTAGACCATAAAATTATCACTGCCACGACCATAAACATAGTAATCAACTCCCAAGGTTTCCTCCCACCCCATTATGTCCTTGCTTTCATTCCTGATTGTAGTAGCTTGAGTCTTGCTGGCTCTTCGGACTCATGGTTAAGGCTGTCAGCTTGCCCTCCCTGGTGACTGATGGAGTGGAGCGGAGGGGCACCTATCTTCTTGGCCACAGCGATCCACTACGAAACTCCCATCAGGCTGGGTGGGAGGTATTGGGAGATGGCTATGTCTCGGTGCCTCAGGCTTCTGCTGTCGACAGGTTTAGTAAATGTTCTTCAATAAATGTCTTCACTGCTGTATGCTCTCAGGACAGTTTTCAGAGACTCTAAATGGTATTTTAAAAAACTCTTTGCCAGTTAGTGTTATTTTGCTGGGAAACAGGTCCGCAGAGTTCTTCATGTTTCCAATATTCTTTATTTCTTGCAGTGGATATGAGTTACTGTCTGATATCATTTCCTTTCATCCTTTAACATTTCTTTTCCATTAGTTTGGCTAGCAATACATTTTCTGTCTTTATTTTGAAGGATAGTTTTGGAGACAGCATTCTTGGTTGACGATTCCTGTCTTCCCATACTTCAAATATGTCATTCACTGCCTTCCGGTCTCCATTGTTTCTCATGAGAAGTCAACTGTTAGTCATACTGTTCCTCTGAGATAAACCATATTTTCTTGTTTGCAAGATTTTCCCAACAGTTTGACTATAAAGTGTCTAAGTGTTTCTCTTCATATTTATCCTAGGTTTTATGGAAGTTCTTGGATCTGTAAATTGATCTTTTTTCATCAAACTTAGGGAGTTTTTAGCTATTATTCTCCCAAATATTTCTATGCTCTCTCCTCCCCAACTCCCATACACCTCGGTATGTTCAATGCTGTCCCACAGATGTCAGTGTGAAGCTTCCTAAAGTGAAACATGGACCCTCTTTTAGAAGCATTTATATTTTTCCATTTAACTTTTAAAACGTCACTGGCTATTACTTAAAAGCATAGTATTATATTCTCTTTAAAAAACAGTGAGGAGGATAGTACTTAGGTTTTTGTTTTATATACACAGGAACATAAAAGATGACAAAAGTGATACAGTAATAAATGACTGGATGAATGGAAGAAAACAGTTTCCAGTTGCAAAATAAGAATTCTCTTCATATATACAGTGACTAAAGGGGGAAATGAAAAAATAAGGGTGGAACAGTAGTGTTCCTCTGGAACAGACAATGTTTATAAACCTTAAATGTAATCTTTAATGAAAGTCATATGCATTATAAAAAAGGGGTCATTATGAAGGATGAGGAAATGGTGACATGCTTTCTTACGAGTGCCACATCTCTGACCATACAGATCTCAGATACTTTTTGGCTCTTCATATGAGCATTTTGAAAGAATGGAGCTACATAAACTAAAGGACAACCAAGAAATATAATTAATTCTTCATCAATACAATAAGGCAATGACAACTATTAAAATAATTTCCCTAATATATCAAAGGCTAACCTTAATTTCCATTTACATATTTAGGCAAAGTGTAATTACCAAAGAATGTATAGTACAGAAACAAAAAGTGTCTTAAGTCTAGTTATTTGGATAGGTTTTTCTAATACACATAATTATCAACAATTTATTATAAAAAGCTACATATACAATTAAATACTTTTTCAAATGTCTTTTAAAAATCAGAATGAAATGGGTAGAAAGAGACATTTCAAAGTCATAGCAGTTACTACTGTTACAATATTTAATCATTTTTACAATTGGTCTGCTGGTCCATTTCAATTGAGTTTGTTCTCAGAACCATCACAAGACCTGATGAATTTCGTTTACAGCAAAAGCAAGATGCTTAATTTTTGCTTCCAGTGCTTTTTTGTTCTTGCAGTTTTCTTGCAGAAGTCCACGCATTTCTTCTTCAACTTGATGAACCTAAATCACAAATATAAATTTTACTTTTAAATTTCTTAAAAAGTTTCATTTTAAAAAAGCATTCTGAAAGAAAAAAGTCAAAAATCTATTCTTGAGCATTTTGCTCTATTTATATAAAGAGTAAAGGAAACTTGTTCAAATACTAACTGGGAAAACAATGTTTATGCTGTAGACAAAGTACTTACATGTATAGTATCTATTTCTCACAGGTTCTGGTGATGGACACATGGTGATTTATTTAGACTCTATTTTAGAGCTTAGACAATTTGTTGAAGGCCATGCAGCTTCTCAGTAGCCCATCTGGACAGAAAGTCTTCTGGCTTCATCTCTGGACTGTCCTGTGCTGCCATGAGTGCTGAGTCATGAATCCCTCTGGCTTCATCTTGCACTGTCCTGTACTGCCATGAGTGCTGAGTCATGCATTCTTCTGGCTTCATGTCTGCACTGTCCTGTACTGCCATGAGTGCTGAGTAATGGATTCACCTTAAACACTAGACCCTGACAGACCTTCTAACTTGACATAACCTCCATTCCCAATGATAATCTACTATAGTTCCAACAGCATTTCTACAGCTGCTGCTGGTGGTTATAAATTGCCACCTCTGCCCAGCTAGTGTGGCTTAGAGGTTGAGCATTGACCCAGGAACCAAGAGGTCACCGGTTTGATTCCCAGTTAGAGCACATGCCTGGGGTTACGATCCCCAGTAGGAGCCGTGCAGGAGGCAGCGATCGATGATGCTGCATCCCCTCTCTAAAAATCAATAAAAACATATTTTAAAAAAAGTGTTTGAAAAAAATTGCCATCTTTTTGAGAGGGCATTTAATCAGTAGAGTTCTCTGTAATTGATACTATTAATTTCTGCTTGAAACTCTCTTTTCTATGATACAGCTCTCCCAAAAGGACTATCACTATGCCCAGCCCTCTTCCTAATCTCTAATATAGATTTCCTACTCTTTCTCCCCCAGAAAGTTAATATTTCTCCTAATTTAAATTATCATTTCTCTGTGATGCCACACATTTTTTTTTATTGTCACATGTAAGTTCTGGTACTCTTTCTTTAACTCCCCAACAGATCTCTCCTTACTTTTATGTTGTATCGGTAGGGGATCTAAAACAGAACTCGGCATTTTCCTCTCAGCCAAGTACGGGCCTATCCTGATACTTGACTTGGTACCTGATGTACCTTTGCCAAACACTCAGCAGATCTTAAATAAAACATCTGAAACATCTGTTGATCTGACATGAAATACAGAACTAAGTTCTGAACAAGTTGTACTTCCTTATTCATTGTGATGATTTCCAAAGCCCTCAGCCATATCTCTTCACAGACTCCTGAGAGTGATGTCTACTAATCAGACAACCTTGACTATAACGATACAGAGTATTCCTGTCACTTTCTCTTGTTGGGCTCTTTTCTAGCTGCTGATTTCTGAGTCTCCAATCGTACAGAAGATAGTCTCCCCCTTATCTGCGGGGATATGTTCCAAGACCCTGAAACCACAGATAAAACCAAACCTCCTATATGTTACGGTTTTCCTGCACACACATACCTATGATAAAGCTTAATTTATAAAACAGGCACAGCAAGAGATTAACAACAAAATAGAGTATCTAGAATCTAGAATGGACTATAATAAAAGTCACGTGATGTGATCTCTCTCAGAACATCTTACTGCACTGTACTGCCCCTTCTATTCCTGAGATGTGAGCTGATAAAATGCCACTCCTGTCCCTGGATCTGTGAGCACCCTGCACTTGCAGTAAATGGCCTGGTTTCAGGGGTTCCTGCTGAAGTCCTCACAGGCTCAGTGCTTTTTGAGCAGCATGCTGCCATCAATTGGAACACGTTTTCTGTCCGTGTCTTCCACCCACAAATTTAAAGCCTTTTCCATCTTATCTAAGCACTTACCACACTCTGAGGCTGTAACTTTTGCAGTTTGAGGTACAACAGCAAAACTAGCAGGAATTTCTTTTTCCTTCTTCCTAATTTCACGATAGAAGATTCGTTCTTACCGAAAATTTTAGCAACCTCAGCATACGATTTTTTTCTTTCCTTAAGTCCAGAATGTTCACCTTTCCACTTAAAGGAAGCGCTTTATGGCTTCTCTTTGGCATGTCCAAGTTGCCAGCATCACTACCTCTTGCGCTTTGGGGCCGTTATCAAGTAAAATAAATGTTACTTGAACACAAGCACTGCGATACCATGACATCGATCTGATCACCAAGGTGGTTCCAAGTGACTAACGGGCGGGGAGCACATACAGCAGGGAGGCCCCGGACAAAGGACGATTCATGTCTGGCAGGACAGGGAGGGGCAGGTTTCATCACGCTACTCACAATGGTGTGCAATTGAAAACTGAGGAATTATTTTTGGAATTTTCCATTTTATATTTCGGACAACTGACTGCATGTAACCAAAACCTCAGAAAACAAAACGGCGTGTGTGTGTGTGGGGGGGGGGGAGACGGACACTTACTATTGTACCTGTTTCCTATTACCACTTCAAAATCAGGGTAAAATGGAATTTCAAAACTGCCCCCTCAGCCAGCAGC